GATACTGCTTGCTATTGATTTTCAACCCAATACTATCAGTGACACCAATTCTTAAAATTTTAATGAGATTTGCTTTATGTCTTGTCTGGTATAGACATGCTAATTTTTGAGATCCTCAATGGGGGAAAAAAAAAAACATGTCGGGAGTCAGGCCCGGCAGTGTAGATTCTATAGTCTCAAAGGCAGGTAGGGAGGTGGGAAGGTCATCGTCAAAGCCCACCAGCATTACAGAGTGAGTTTATGGCTGGTCTATGACACATGAGACCTTGTGTCAAAACTGAGCCAAGGATGTAACTCAGTGATAGAGCACTTCCCAGGCTTTCAGGAGTTCCCTGCCCTGTGCAAGCACAGTTAACCCTAACCCTTTATCCACTGTTGTTTGTGTCTGTCTTTGTGCCTTTGCTGTGTATTGTCTTTGGGCTTGTGACCTCATAGTTACCGGGTCTTTCTTCAGAGAGAATTGCATGTGGCCTGTGCAGTGGGCACAGTGTGTTCCAGAGTGACTTCCATGTGCTTTTCCACTTGCTCTATGGCGTCACCCATCCCTGGGTTTCTTTTTTATATTAATTTCTCAATTTGAGAGTTCTGGGATTGTGGGAGAGATACAAGTTCGCACTTTAACTTGGTGCCAGGAAAGGTGTAGAGTTACCATTTCTCCAGAGAGGATTCTTTTGTGTGTTTCTGGAGGAGTCAGGAAAGAGCTGAGTCCCCAGACCCCACCTCTGCACAGGGGTGATCCCCAGCTTGGACCCAGTTTTCTTCAGGCATCCTGGGCTTGGTTTTCTGCTGGCCCAGTCCTAGGACCCCACCCTACAGAGGCCCAGTTCAAGCTCTTTAGCTACCAAGGCCCTCAGAGGTCAACATCTTGCCTCAGTTCTGTACCCACATGTACCACACCACAGCTTTTTATTTTCTCTTTGTTTTTTGTCTCCAGGGATTTTCTTTAAAAACTACCTTAGAAACTTGAGTATCTAAAAAGATGCCTGTGATTTTTTTATCTACTGTCTCCAATACCATCATACCCCAGACCAGTTCTCCACTCTCTGAACTAATTTTGGGACTTCACCCAATACCTTGTCTGATGTACCCCACTTTACTCAGATGCTCACAGTGATGGAAGGCATGAGCTTGGGAAGGGAACAAGGGGCATGAGGGGCTGACACTACCCCTGGAGTAGTTTCCCAGTAGCTTCTAGAATTAAACACCTAAATCCCTGGTCTTCACAAGATGGCTGGTGCCAAGTCTCCTCAGAGCTGATGAGCAACAGGAACAGATTTCAAGGCTATCCTCAGTGGCACTTGGGTCTGCAGGAACTGGCTCAGCCTCAAATCTATTATAAATATCCTCCTGGGCCCTCCATCTAATTCTCCCTCAAGGTGTTCCAAACTGAATACACATCAGATGTGTTTCTCTATCACTGTCCACCTTAGTGTTCGAGACATAGTCTGTCACTGAACCTTGAGCTCACCAATGAACAAGACAGACTACCCAGCAAAACCTATGGGCCCTCCTGCCTCCACCTCCCTTGTCCCGGGATTACAGATGCACAGCACCACACCTGGCTTTCTTTCTGGGTGCTGGAATTCGAACTCAGGTCCTTGTGCTTGTGTGGTAAGTACTTTACCCACCAAGTCATCTCCCCTGCTATCTCCTCACAGGATTCTTGGCCTGTGAGCAATGCCAACATCTACCTCTTTGCCTACACCTCATATACCTAGTGGTTTTTATAGGCTCCTTCTAGAAAACTCTAAAGGCACTTATCACCAAATCCCACACATTTCAAACATCCTGGACTCTAACTACTGTTTGTACTGTTGCCTTAGGTGTTCAGGCCTCTTCATCCACACAGAGGTCATTTCTAATCTCACCCAACAGTGGCCCTGGTCACACACACCAGGACTCTTCTGGGTTCATGGCTTTCCTTCCAGATACTCAGCATACCTGGGCTTCAGAGGCCAGGACTCAGCCTTTCTTCCCTGACATTTCCTATGGCTCACTACTGAATAATGGGTGCCTGTGTGCCCTGCCCCTGCCTCTGCAGGCTATCGGACCTTCTGAAGCGCTTGCTCTTGGCAGCCAGCATCTGGATGAAGACTTGCCTCACACGGTCCTCATCTGGCCTGGGATAAGGGACGTGATTGTGTGTTTTTTTTTTTTTTTTTTTTTTTTTTTTAAGGCAGGGTTTCTCTGTGTAGTCCTGACTGTCCTGGAACTCACTCTATACACTAGGCTGGCCTCTAACTCAAGAGATTCCCCTGCCTCTGCCTTCCAAGTGCTGGGGTTAAAGGCATGTGATACCACCACCCATCAGGACATGACATTTAATATAGTTTATCTGACCACCTGCTTCACACAGTTCAACAAAGACTGAAAAACCATTCCTGTTGCAGCTTTTCAAAATTAACCAATTAAGCTTGCAAACAAATGGTCATTCTCATCCTACATCATTCCCACTCCTCACCTGGCTCCAATCTGAGCATCACCTTGTCTCTGACCTTACTTACTTACCCCTGGGATATGGCCCCAGATTTAGGGAGGAGAGCACTGCCTACCTGTGGCACAGAAGATGGGAACTCAGGCCCTAGAGCAGCTTGCTCTCAGCTCATGGTGCATGGAGTGGGCGCACCATTCCTTCCTCAAGTGATGTGGGATCACTCATTAACCCACCAACAATAAACAATTGTAGCTGCTTACCAGGGGCAAGCAAGGCATGATAAAAATAATAGGTATTAATTATTGTCCTGTCCCCAAAAGGTGCTTTATGCCTCTGTCCATGACATCTTGGAACTCAGGGAAACAGATGGATCTGAAGAGGTGGGACACCTTCAGCAAATGAACTGACTGGCCCCTTTACCTGCTCCTGCATACAACTCACAGGCCTGGATTCTAGCTAAAGCAACTCATAGGAGTTACAAAGGAACACCAGTGTTAAGATTAAGGGGTGGTGGTGTCTGATGCCTCTAATCCCAGCACTCAGGATGGATACAGGGCAGGCAGATCTCCGTGAGTTTGAGGCTAGCCTGATCTACAGAGAGTTCCACTGCTAGGCATAGTGGTGTGTGCCTGCAATTCCTGCACTTGAAAGGTAGAAGCAGGAGGATCAGGAGTTCAAGGCTAACCTCAGCTACCTAATGAGTCTAAGGTTAGCCTGAGCTGTATGAGACTGTTTCCAAGAAACAAAACTCCACAGCTGAGAGCTTCCGGGAGGAAGTAAAACAGTGAGGCTGGCTTTCAAGATGGTGGCTGGGTGTCAGGGACACAAAGCAAATGGAGGCCCAGCACTGCCAACCTGGCTGGACTCTTCTTCCTCACTCCCTGCCAGCTCTCCTGTAAGGTCCTTCTCCTGTTCACACTCATCTGCTGCCCTCACCTGCATGGCCAGTCTTGGGCCAGTCCTGTTGATCTTGTGGCCCCAACAGGCTTTACCTTTACTTGCTGGCCAAAATGGAGACACAGCCAGCCCAAGTCTGCCTCTCAGCTGTTCCAGAACATCACTCTGTTACTTATGGAGAGTTTGATAAAGTGGGTCTAACACTAACAGTGCACCAAGTAGGTGCTCAGAGCTGCCGGCAGACAGAGGACAACCGTCCTCGGAGGGGACAAAAGAGACCATAGGTCAATGCCACAACCAGTCAGGACAAAGGCCAAGTGGAATGGAATGGCTAGGCACTTGGGCAGTGGCAGCAGTCTTGAAGGACTTGTATTGGGGCAGGGTGATGAAGTAAAGAGAGGACACCTTGCAGACTGAGGGTCCTGAGCTCTGTGGCAGTTTGAAGAGGGTTTTCCAGATCCCGGTTGGGATGCAGGCAAGGATAGAGACCAAGAGACCATGGCTCTATTCTTAGCTCATGGCTAAGATGTTCCTAAAGGGGCCAGGCTAGGAAGCATAGGAGCTGCAAGGTTGGGAGGCATGGGAGACAGGACATGGAGATATGATACCGGGACAGGGTGGGAAGAGAGTGACACCTGACCAACAGGTATTCATGGAATGTGCTAGATGGAGCCCACAGTTGGGTTGTAGCTCTCAGCAAGGACAGTGCTGAAGTATGACCAAGGCTGCTGCCTGCTCATGTCCTCAGGGATGGCTCATGGCACTGAGAAATGTGAAAGACCCTACTCTCTGGCCATGTGGTGCCAAACTGTGGGTACCAGCAGCAAAAGCAGCCATATTCCCTCAGGTCTATGTGCCCCTAGGCTCTTGAGTGACATGACAACTTCATGGGTCCCCTCCTTTCTGTGGGTGCTGGCCCCTAGCTCTCCACTCCTGCCATGTGCCTACTAGTCAAGACTCATATTTCCAAAAAGAGTAGGCCTGTGTTCCTGGCCACTTGTCATGAAGGCCTATAGTTCATGCTGGCTGGGCAGTTGAGAGGGATTTGCAATGGTTGAGGATTGACTCAAAGCGGACACTATTCTCATGGAAGATACTTTACACCTTACCTTCATTAAGCTTTTTAAATGTACTTTTTTTTAAGGTACATGTATGTGTATCCATGCATGTATATGTACATGTGAGTGCAGGTGCCCTTGGAGGCCACAGGCATCTGATATCCCAAGGCTGGGATTATAGACAGTTGTGAGCCACCCTACATGCGTGCTGGGAATTGAACTCAGGTCCTCTGCAAGAGCAGTATGCACTCTTAACCTCTAAGCCATCTCCAGCCCCTTAATTTCTGTGTCTGTGTGTGTATATATGTGTGTGCATGAAGTACATGTAAGAGTAAAGCATATCATGTCATGAGTGTGGAGATCATAAAACAACTTTCCAGAGTAGGTTGCCCACCTTCCCCTTTTATGTGGGATTGAACTCAGATTGCTAAATTTCACACCAAGTGCCTTTATCTGCTGTGCCACTCAGTGACCTGGGTCTGATGTTTGCCCAGCATAGTTACTCACACCTAAAGTCTCAATTTAGGAGACTGAGGCAGGAGGGTTGCCATGAATGTGAGGCCATGGAGACCAGAAGAAATGAGGCAGACACACTATCCAGGGGACTGGGATTAGCTTCGGAATGTGACAATTTATTTGGGGGTGAAAGAGGTCTCACCCCCTTTTCCTGGCATTGATACAATATTGAAGAGCAGCAGAACAAAACGAACGAGACAGAGTGATCAGCACAAGCCCGCCCTCCCCTGGCCCAGAATCTACCAAACCCACATCCAAAATAAGCTACCTTCCCCACTAGAAGTCCTTCCCCGAGGGGTTGGGCAGACTGGGGACCCCACCCCTTTATCCACTGGCCAGCTTTACCATGTTCCCGTCATTAACCACTGGAGGCAAAGTTTAGCCAGCTGGGAGCTGGATGGTTGAACCACAGACAAAGGTAGACACGTCACCCTTAAAACTCGAGAGAAGAGACAGTGCCCACCCCCAAATATAGAGCTATGTATGTATATTTTATATATATATATATATATATAGAATCCATTCGTGCAGTTCATCAAATGAGCTTCTTAAAAATTAAAACAAAATTATAACATACATATTTCTTTAGGTCTTTGTGTTTTTAAGTTAAAACTGACGAAAAGATGCCTGCTTCACGCCTCAGCACAGATGAGCCCAGCATTTGACTCCTTCCTTCCACCTGGCCTCTTTAGACCCTCTGGCTCCATCACCTACTGGTGCTCTACGACAGTGGTAGTGGAGTCCTGACTCCTTTATGGATGGAGGGACCTATAGGCTGGGAAGTGGGTCCTTACCCCCACCCAACCTTCTCGGTGGTGGCTATCAGAAGGGGTGCTGAACTCTACTCTCTGAGCTTCACGAACCAAGAAGAGAAGCAGACAGAACAAAACTAAAACCCTTAAATTTTCTCTTATCTTTTAAAAAGTGATTCCTTGAACCGCAGAAGCCCCAGAGAGGCCACCTTGGCCTAGTGCACCAGAACTCAGGGCAGAACTAACCAGACTGGTTCTACCATCCATTGAAGTGCAAAACAAAACAAAGAAGAAAGTCAACCAAAAAACCAGAAAAGTAAGGGAGGGGGGGTATGGCCTCTCAAGTCCCCAGATGTCAGGAAGGCTGGCCTAAGCCCAGATGGTAGACTGGCCTAGTTTCTGCTAGGTCCAACTCTCTAGCCTAAGCAACAGCCAGCCCGAGTCCCCACCTTTCCTTTTGAAGGCCAGGGAAGCCTGTGCTCTAAGCTCTCATCACTCCAGAGAAGTAGTTTAACCTCCTTTGAAAGAGACAATTCCTCCCATTCCACCCCCTCCCATTGAAGCAAGGATGGCTTGCTTGCCAGAGGAGGCTCATTTTGCTCCCTCAGGGAATGTGGGCAGCTGGAGGCCCCAGAGTGCTTTGTGAGGAGGCCTTGCTGCTCTGTACAGCCCTTTCACAGAGGGACTGACTAAGCTGGGATGGGCCCTGACCTTCCATCTCAAAACCCAAGACCCTGGGGACTCACTACCATTTCCTGACAGGTGGGAGGGAAGGGAGCATTTACAGGGCATGACCATCAGGGAGGTCATTTCACATATGAAAATAAAGCGCACAGGACTGCAGCTTCTGCTTGGTAATTAAGCAAACAAAGAAAAGCAGCAAGGGTGGAGGAGGGGCCTGCAGTAGGCTGATGGTGCAAGGTTGTGTAGGAGTCTGTGTAGGGGTCTAGGCCTCTTACTTCAGGCCATCCAGGAGAGGGAAGAAGGGCTCTGCACACCAGCAGTCCCGTGCATTCCCCTTGTCCATGCACCTTGATGCCTTGTACACCAGTTACCCCATCAGTGTGCTTCTGAAGCCCGCATCCCTTTCCTAAACAGGGGAACTCAAAGGTGACTTGGTCTTTAGGGTGAAATGACCCAGCAAGCTGGTGAAAAGTAACAGCATACGGATAAGAAGTCTTCCTAAGGAAAAGCACAGTGAATCTAGTCCCCAAGGAGTCCCATGACAATTATCTGCCTATCCCCTGAGCTTCCTGCCAGCTCCCTGGGAACCAGCTGTCACTCTTCCTTTCAAGCAAGCACTGGAATGGAAGTCTGCTCCTAGATCGCCAAAGAAGACTTGCCCTGCCTGCTGCCAAGGAAGGAGGGCAGCCACAGCCACCTCTATGGTGCCTTCAACGGAGGGGATGGACGGACGGACACGGGGACGGGGGACCCAGCAGCTAGTTCGGGCCTCCACCAGACCCTAACATTGCCACCTCACCTGTGCAATCGCTGCTATGTTCTCTTTAAATAGCTTTCTCCCGCCACCCCACACTTAGGAATCCCACAATATTTTTTTCTACTTTTTCTTTTCTTTTTTTTTTACTTTTTAAAATTTTTTTTCTTTTTTTTTTTTTCATTTTTTGCAAAACTAACTCTTTCACTTTCCTGTCATAAAATCACCTCTGAAAACACAACTTCTTTACAAAAAAAGGTCACAAATGACACAGACTCTCAGGAAAACACATTTCTATGGTCTCTGCAAACACCTGTAACTGGCACCCAGGTGGTGGCTCACCTGGGGAAGGGGGAGGGGGAAATCACCTCTGAGGACAGAGGTGAAATACCAGCCCTTATTTGGGGGAAAAGCCAATTGGCACTTGGACGGTATCAGGGTTAACACAGGACAAGGTGGGACCTGGACTGTGGCCCCCTCAAACCCTGTTTCATACCCTGGGGCGAGGAGGGCTGGGGCTGTGCTGCAGACCCTGGCAGGGGGGTAGGAAGGAAGAGCATCTTCCCCTAAGACCAGAATACTTGTCCTCGGGTCAGCTGGTTCCACCTTTTACCATGCTCTGAGCAAGGTACCAAAGGCCAGGCACACCAAGAGCCAGCTCAGGCTACACATAGGAACATCCTACTCAACACCCAAGTAAATCCCAGACAATGGCCAAGGGTAGGCCAGTGGAGTCCCTAATGCTGCCTGTGGATAGGCTCGCTCCCTCTTCCCTCTGGCCTGCCCACTGTCCTTGTGCCTGGCCTGCAATTGGGGCTTTGGTCTCGCCATAGGCATGGATGCCTCAGTTCCCTAGCAGCAGAAGGCAAGCGAAGCTGCCCAAGGCACCCAAAGTCTTCCAACAGGCTAGACTGCCAGGGAGCTCAGCAGTTAAAACCAGAAGGGTGGGAGAAACCCCTGGGAGGTCTCTAGGCCTTCTCTTTCCTCTACCAACATCTGCAATAAGAGAGGCTGGCACTGGGCCCTCCCCCATTACAGTCCCCACCATGCATGTCTGCAGGGTGAAGGTCTGACTTTCAAGATGACCACCCCAAGAAGGGCCTGAGGGTTTCATGTCCCCCAGGAACCTGGGGTTGAAGAAGAGGTCTGTGGCTTCCATAGCAAACCACACAGACCAGACTGTACCAGGCCTGGCTAAGGCAAGGGAGGCCACGCCTTCAGTGACCCTGTTCTGAGGAACCGTAAAGGGTGTTGCAGGAAAGCCTGAGGCCCTGCACCCAACACACACATGGATCTACGCAAGAACAAGCCAAGGGCAAACACACATGCACAGAAGTTTCCACAGCAGGTTCTTGCAGCACCTTTGGTAGAAAATGTAGGGGGCTTTCAGATGCCCAGAGGCTACAGCAGGGTGCTATGTCTGCCAGCCCATCCACCTTCAAAGGGGTTTTGGATAGACACAGGGTGTGTGGGGCACAAGATCTGCGTGGGCCTAGTCCAGATGTAGGCAAGCAGGGAAGGCAACCTCTGGCCCAGCTGCCACCCTTGATGCTGTTGAGGGAGGAGCCCATGTTGGCATCATCCTTCACTCAGTCCTAGGCAGCACTAAGAGACTGTGCCCACCCTAGGTGGGATCTCCTAGGGGCCCTGAAGCTAAGATAGCACCGAGACCAGATGCTGCACACAGAGCAAGAAGCAAGCAAGAGAGGCAGGGTGGGGTATAGGTAGGTCAGGTGAACCCCAAGTTCTTGGGCTTCCCCAGGAGCCACCTACTGGACCCCACCTACAGAGTCAGGGACAGTTCCAGGGAAACCAGGGCACATTTCTTCCTTCCTGTGCCCTACTAGGGCCCTAACCACATCCAGGACTACCCAGCCCCATCCCTGGGTCAACAAGGAGCCATTTGAGGCAAGCAAAGCACAGGCAGACAGGTCTGAGGGCAGGGGCTGGGTGGGAGCACAAGTATGATTCTAGGAAGGAGGCCCCCCCAGCCTTCCTCCTTGGGGAAGCCCCTCACTTGCTTGGCCCGGTGCCACCACCACCCCCTGCAGCACCTGCCACACCTGCAGCCACCTTCTCAAAATCCTCAGGGCTGCAGAATTCTTTGATGGTCACGGTCAGGAGGTTGCTGGTGACATCTGTGACGACTACATTAGAGCACGGCGACATCTCGGGGCGCCAGTCCCCAGCCTCAGGCTCGGAGGAGCAGGCACCTGTGGGCTCCAGGGCTGTGTCGAGCACTTGGCCTGCAGCAGCAGTGACATCGGGAGGTGCCCGCTGGACGGAGGCTGCCACCTCAGGAGGGATGGACAGATCAAGCACCTCTGGCTCCCGCCAGTTGGGAGCAGATCGACTCATGGTCTCAGGGAGTAGCTTGGGTGGTGCATCGTCTGGGTCAGAGGACTGCAGTGTGGGTGAGGGGCAGCCGGAAGAGCTGGAGCTGTGTGCATCATAGGGGGCAGCTGCTGGGTTGGACAGTAGCAGCCCAGGCCCAGAGGAGGCCATGTCGGCTTTGCCCGCGGTAGAGGGCGCCAGAGGGGCGGGCGGGGGCTTGTACAGAGCAAAGGTGCCAAACTTCATGTGGCGGATCTGGGTGCGCAGCATGCTTTCACTGAACTTCTTGCTCTTCCCAATGACCCGGTTGCGTGACGGAACTTTGGGGCGGGCAAGCGCCCCTGCACCCTGTGCAGTGCTGCCTCCTCCCGGACCCTTGTCAATCACCTTCAGGTTCAGGATGATGCGGTTCCGCTTGGGCTCCCGGGGCTTCACCTTGCGGTTGATGATGCGCACGGTCTCAGAAAAGGGCGAGATGGGTGGGCGCAGGCCAGGGCTGCCACCCTGTGGGTCTGGTCGTGGCAGGGGACGGCGGGACATGCGGTGGCAGCGGCGGATATCTTTCTTTAGCCGGTGCACCGCGGCACTGGAATGCAGCTTGGGCGAGGAGGCGCTGGAGCTCGGCTTGACTGAGAAATGCACATCGCTGATGCGGAGAGCCTCGGCCTGGGCCCGGGCCTGCGGGCAGAGGGGCGTGGGTGGGACCTCAAGACTTATAGCAGCACCTGGACACCCCTAAGCCAGATAGTCCTAAGCTCTGCCAACATATATATTCAGGAGACTACCAGAACTGATGACCCGTCAGACAGAAAAGAAAGGACTGGGGGGGGGGGGGATGGGGGACGGACAGACAACACAGCTCAGGTGGTAGAGATTGCCTAGCATGCATGGGGCCCTAATTTCCCCTGCACAACACAAACCTGTCACCTGCTGGGACACATCTGTAACTACAGCATTCCATAAGTGGATGCAGGTGGATCAGAAGTTCAAGGTTATCTCAGCTACACAGTATGTTTGAGGCCAGCATAGGTTACATGATACTCCTAAGACTTTTTTTTCCTACCACTAAGTGTGCATGTGTGTGTGTGTGGGGGGTGCTGTTCCATAGGACACTCTTGCTGACTCAACAATGACATGGACCATGTGAGGAACACTTCCATGAAGGATCCCAGCCAAGCCTGGGACTCTTCCAAGGGTTAATTCTTGATGACAGTAGACCCTCCCTGTTCCTACCTTCCAGGCGCACCCCTGACTCCACAGATGACCATCAGCTCTAGAGAGGCCCTTGTCCCAGCCTGCAGGCCCTCACCCTACCCACACCGATGGATCCCAAAACCTATACCCAGAAGCCAGTACCAGAATCCAGCCGAGGCCTTTGGTAGGGATGAGACATCCAAGCAGAGGCAATTGTGAGCCCTGAAAAGCCCTAGGGTCCAACAGCAGTTCAGCTGCTACCTCATGGGAACCCACCAAGAAAGGCCCTCTGAGCTCTGGTTCCACCTCACCCTGCCCCTTGACAGAAGACTTAGAACAGACAATAGGCAGGGATTCCTCCATGGCTAGCCCTTCCTTCACTGAGAAGGATGAGGGCCAACTGCTCAGGTCTAGGAATGACATCCCCAAGAGCTGCTGCCATCTCTGGAGAAGGCGGTGACTCTGTGCGGCACTAGGAGGGACAGCAGAGACCAGACCCCACCCAGATATGGAGAGAACCCCAGTTCCTAAGGCCAGGGTGGACATGGGCTGGGGACAGAGGCCTGCAGGCCACACCCTAGTGCTGTGAGGATCCAGTGGCAGGAGTTGACAGCTGTGGCTGAGGACCCAGATTAACAGACAAGCTCAAGTGGGGCAAAGCACCTGGTTAAGCTGTGACTGCCTTAATCTAGTCAGGAGACTCTGGAGTAGGGAAGAGTGACTCATGCCCATTGTTAACCTGTCAGGGCCCCGAGGAGGAGGAGCTCTTCATCTCCAGTCCCCACACACTGGATGCTTACTCAGTACAGACAACCTGTATACCCCAACTGGGCTCTCCTGGCTTGCGGTGAACTAATGTCTTACCAGGTACCCACACTCTCAAGGGAGAAATACATCTTAGGATACTTTGCTCTGCACCAAAGCTAGGGAGTCCCTGTCAACACTCACTGACACTAGGTGACAGCAAACAAGTGGCCACAGCTAGCTCCCAGGGCTCCTCTCTCCAGTCAGTTGAGTTCCCCAAGGAGCCTTTTATACTCCTTCCCAGTCTCATCCCCAGAGGAGTTTAAGAATCTCTTCAGAAAAAAAGGTATGGTATTTACTCACTCTGCACCTTGCCTTAACTCCCAGATCTGAGTTTTTTGTTTTGTTTTGAATGTGTATGTACACAGATGCACACATTAGCCAGAAAGGGCCATCTCTCAGAGCTGGAGTTAGACTGTGTCTGGGGTTTGCCCCTCTGATAAAACAATGCACTCTCAGCTGCTGAGCCATCTCTCCAGTCCCCACACTGACTGGCTGGGTGCTACAGAGGTTCCATGGTGACAAATGCTCCATGGAGAGAGCGTGTACAAACAGTGGACCCAGGATGACCATCTCCAAACCTCAGTCTCCCTTTGTGTGTGATCCTAATGTGTCCTGCCATAATGCTCTCCTGTGGTCAACATCAGAACACCTGCTGACCATGCACCTGGAGGCAGCCAGGACCCGGGACAAGCTACAGTTACCTGTAGATGCCAGGCTTCTAAGAAACCAGCTTTTCCTAAAGTACGCTTTCAAACTGTCTATAAGAAACATATCTCACTTTACCAGGTTTAAACAGTACTGCATAAGATATGATTCTTGGGCTGGAGAGATGGCTCAGGGGTTAAGAGTTAATGGCTGCTCTTCCAGAGGATCCAGGTTCAGTTCTCAGAACCCACATGGCATCTCACAACTGCCTGCAACACCAATTCTGAGGATCCTCTTCTGGCCTGCATGGGCACCAGTTAAGAACATGGCACACGTACATACATTTGAACCTTTAAATATTTAAAAAACATGTATTTTCCTCAGGTTGAGCTTTTTTTGACAGTAGGACCTGGGTCTGTCTAGTGAATTTCAGAAGTCACTGCAGATAACAGTCACTGTACTCTAACATGACAAGTGACTCCAGAGTCTGGGATGTACTACAGACAGCATCTAGACACTGCTGATAGCTCTCTGTGATGGTTGGCATATTATTGACCCGTTTTCTTTTCCCAGGTATGAAATGGGGATATGCCAGCAATCTCAAAATGGCTTCCATGATGCTCAGTATACCTCCTGGATGAAAATGTTAAGTGCATTAGTCACATAGCAACAGGTCCACCCTAAGCTACCGCTACATCCCTTCACGTCCTCCTGTTTCCTAAATCCTGGATTAAGACGCACTGTAGGCAGCTCCAACCCCTGCACTAGCAACTCTCAGCTGTGTTTCTTGCAAATGTGTTCAACTTCGCTCTTAAAACTATTTCCATTTGTGAAATGGGGATAGTACTTGCAACTCAACTGGGACGTTGAGGATATTAAAGAAGATGATTCGAGCAGAGGACTCAGTGCTGTTGGGATCACAGGCAACCAGAATCCACAACTTTTTAGAAAAAGGTATTTTGATGACACTCAAGATCATTGCCGCCTTAGCCACTAGAGGGCGCACCAGCGGCGCTGAGAGGCTGTCAACACAACCCACCAGTCTTCCAGCTGCTCCGCCCACCCCTCCCTACCAGCAAGCATCCGGGTTAAGGTAACTGCATTAATACCCGAAAATGCAAACGCGATTGCGGGTAGAGTGTGGAGCACAAAACTATAGAATTCTGGAAACCAATATTTTTTCCAGTTTTGCTTCTGGTCCAAGGCTAACCCTTATGACCATGTTGGCTGGAAATGGGGGGGGGACTGGTCCACCCCGCCCCCACCAAGGATGGAGTGCTTTGGACAAGCTAGAGATTATGAGGTTCTGCATCTTGCAGTCTCTTCTCCAAAGAGCCCTTCCTTTCTTCTGGTGCCAAAATTGTGGGGAAGGAAACCTGAGGTATCCTTAGTCCTTTGGGGAAACTACGATGGCTTCATGAGGCCACCTGCAGCCTTGCCTTAAGTGGACAACATCAGCCGACTTGTTTTCCTCTTCCCAGGCTCTGTTCTGCCCTCATCAAAAAACAGAAAAAAAAAAAAACAAAACAAAACAAAAAACACCCCTAACTCTCTAAGATGGCTTCCTCTTATATTCTTTGCTCCCTCGCCAATGCAAACAGGCTATGTTTCACCATGCCCCACCCTATCTTCATTGGAACCTCCAGAAATATTCAGGGTTAGGGGTAGACAGGCTAAGGACCTGAAAGCTGCTAGTCTAATGCGGATGATCAAACTCTAGTTGAAGAAATTTAAGGTCAAATTCAAATTGGGCCCCCAAGTGCTAAGGGGAAGGCCCAGAATACACTCTAAGAGGTGTGGGCAGCTACAGGGCAGGGAGATGGTTAGCTTGCCAGGAGGTGAGCCTATATACTCACTAGCTCCAAGGCTTTAACGCACGGGACAGGACAGTGTCTTCAAGACTGGGGGTAAATGAAGGGTCTCAGCAGAAAGAGCTTCCTGGTCACCTCCTCTCGTGATATGCCCCAACCTGCTTCACCCACCCGCTTCCTGGAACCCACCCCCCATCCCCTGGTTTCATCCCTGATTACCCCACTCCCAGGCCCCTCTGGCTGGGCTGGCAGCAGCCTGCTTTCAGGGACTCACAACCACCCCCTGCCCAGCTGGGGCCCCTCTGGAAAAGCCTGCCCGCCTAGGCAGAGGCGGATCTGTCCCTCCCTTGCAGGCCCTGTGCTGAGCCCTGGCTGGGGGCCCAAGAGGGGGCTGCTGGGGCTGGGCCAGGTTACCTTTAGGAGGAAAGTTTTGGGTTTGGGTCCTCTCTTCTTGGGCCCATACAGCTCACGTTCCCTTTCCCTGCAGCCAAGAAACGCCAAAAATTAAGTGTCCCTTCCCGGGCCCCACTCCCCAGCCCAGCCTGCTTTTCCCGCTTCCCTGCACAGCGCCCCGCCGCGCTGGCCAGCTTGCCCAACTCACTTCTGCTCGAAGGCTGCGATGAGCCTCGAATCCAAAATGTTCTCCTCTGGCTCCCAAGTGCTGTACCTGCCGAGTCACGCGTGCAGAAAAGCAAAATGAAAATCCAAGGGGGCAGAGGCACACCTCGAAGACGCAAGCACGCACCCCCCACCCAAGGCCCGAGTGCCTTCTTGCCGCCTCCCTGGTCCCCACGCCACCGACCCCACGTTACTCACTTGATCGCCCACCCCTTCCATTTCACCAGGTACTCGATGCGTCCCTGAAAAACAGAAAGAAAAAAAAAAAAACGGAGTGGGGGTGGGGAAGATGTAGGGACGCGAGGAGGCGGCAGCGCGGGGGTGGCCGAGGAAACCGGGCTAGCGGGACCGCTGCACCCGGAGGGTCCCGCGGGCTCCGACACGGCAGCGGGAAGCGCAGGACCGTCCGGGCCGAGGGCTTACCTTGCGGATCCTGCGTTTGATGATGGATTCGGCCGCGAAGACACGCTCGCCCACTGCAGACAGCTCCATCTTGCTCAGAGGCACCCACAGCCCATAATACTCCCTGCTCCCGCGACCGGTGCTGCACCGCTCGCGCACGCGCCCCAGCGATCAGGCCCCCGGCGGGCGGGCGCTCGGTGGGGCGCGCGCTCGCGTTCCAGCTGCGGGCCGTCACGTGATGCTCGGGGCTTGAGCTCGGTTGCCAGGACACCCCCCCTCCCCCGGGGCGGTTGCTAGGGAAAAAGAGCGCTCGCGGGGCGGGGGCGCGCGCTGGCTCTTAAAGGGACCTGTCCTCTCCTCCGCAGTCCTGGCAGAAGACCGATGGATGTGTGGCTGGTGCCAAGCCAGGTGATATGAAGTGCAATTTTACATTATCCTGCTTCATCCTCCTTTTAACTCCCTATGCCAGAATTACCAGGCCCTTGACAGAGAGGTGCGATGAGTCTGCAGGCGTTGTGCATTCTCCTGCAGACGTGCGCAAACAGTTAAATATGATACAGCAGAAATACATTCGTTGCAGCTTTTGCCAGGCCTTGTGGGGATTTCTTTAATGCATCACCCCATCCATTATTTATGTATTCGTGGGAGTGTGGTTTTGTAACCGGTTCAGATGAGTTAAAACAAAAACGCTACCGCAGGAAATGGGGGTGGAGACGGAGGTGACCCAGGTCTGCTGCGACCCCCGGATCTTGAGCAGCACCTGCAAGTAGACCTCGAGGATGATGTGTTTGTAAAGCAAAAAGGAAGAGGTCTCAGAAGAGAACCACTTGGCGCCCCCCTCCCCCCGATTGATTCCAAAGCGGGCTTTCTTTGGGTCACTCAGCAGAACCCGCCTTCGTGGTCACATCTGTTTTCGGATTTTCAGGCCATAGGCCACACCACTATCCTACAGCTCACAGATGCGAGGATGACTCCACCATTGAACTTGGGCAGGCTCAAGCGCGATCTGGACCTGTCCCTCAAGGACCTAGCCCGCCTCGCAAATACCATCTCGCAAAACTTTTCCATTCTGTTTTGAAATATTTAATCTTATTTTCCATTAGGCCAATGGTCTTGTTCTTTGCAAAACAAAAATATTGAACACATACAGATAAGGAAATGAAAAGTCATCAGTACAGTCCATAACTTGCATAAAACCATTAGTAGTATCTTCTAGCTGTGTTCTTCCCCTAAACCCAGGCCTGCACAACTGTGCACACACACATCACTCACGTGTACAGTGCAGGTATATACATTCTATATATTTAAATGTTTAAGCAACATAGGTTTTATTGCTTACACTGTTCCCCTCTTGATGATATTGATTGAACATTAGCACACATTTTGCCCCATTCACCTGTTGTCTAGGGCTGACCTGAGTGGGGGATGGGTGCTTGTAAGTGTCAGGAGTCAGGATTGTCTCTTGATTCTGTGATTGGCTTATTAGGAAGAGTCTGTATACATCTGTGCTGAAACACCATTTCTTGGAGGTACAAATCCACCATAGCAAAATTTCTGCTCTTCATCCTCGAACCACTACAGAAATATATAGAGAGTTACAGAAATTAAATTGACTGAAATCGTTCTGCCCCCTCAAGATCTTTATGCCACTAAGAAAGTGCTCTTGCCTGGCATGATGGCAAGCCCAAAGTGAGCTGATCTCCTGGGACAAAGTGGATGAGCAGGTAGGTTGAATGTATGAGGGTCTGTGCAATCGTGCTTGCTGAGGTGACCACAGGATGAAGAAAGTGCCCATCAGTCCACACATAGGCTCATCATGACCTGCTGTGAAAGATGCGGGAAACAGGCCAGTCCAGTGAGAAAGGTGCTTACCACACATTGCAAACCATTACGGAGATGGCACAGGATGCCTCCTGTGGCTGCTCTAACAAACAGCCCCGAATTTATCAGTTTAAGGTGACACTCTAAAGGGCAGAAGGCCTAAGTCAATGTCACTGAGCTGAAGTCAAGGCTAAGGGAGCTTGAAGAGACAGCTCCTGGCCTCAGCTGGCTTCTAGAAGCTGCTGTCACTCCTTGATACATGGCTTTGTTGCTCAATTCTTTAACCCTGTCATCACTTCCCTACCACTGACTACCCTCCTGCTTCCTCAAAAGGGCCCTGTGCTTATGTTGGCCCAAAATAATCTCCCTGTGACAGCAATCCTAATCTAATCCAGTGCCATCCCTTCTCATAGAGTCCACGATCCTCTCTCTGGACCTTAGTTTCTGTTTTACTTCTTTCTTCTGTGTGTGTGTGTGTCTGTCTGTCTGTCTATGTGTGTGGGTCTGTGTCTCTGTGTCTATCTGTGTGTACCTGTATGTCTCTGTGTGTGTGTGTGCGTGTCTGTGTCTGTGTGAGTTTCTGTGTGTGTCTGTATGTCTCTGTGTCTCTCTATGTGTGTCTATATTTGTCTGTGTGTCTGTATGTGTCTGTGTCTCTCTGTGCCTGTGTGTCTCTGTGTGTGTCTCTGTATGTGTGTCTCTGTGTGTGTGTGTCTGTCTGTGTACAAGTACATGAGTGCACAAGCATGTGGAAGCCAGAGATGGACATCAGGACTCTTCCTTGGTCACTCACCACCTCGTTTTTTTGAGATGGGGTCTCTCAACTGAACCTGTAGCTCGGTGACTGGTTGGATTGGCCCACAAACCCCAGAGATCCTCAGTGTAACACAACCCAGTATTGAGATTACAGCCTGTACTACTGTGCCTGGCTATTTATGTGGATGTTCTGAATTCAAATCAGTAGCCAGCACTTTACAGACTAAGCCAGCTCGCCAACTGTTCACCTTAATTTTCAGTGGTTTATAACACCTTTTAGTCATTGATTATTCTGAGAATTGTTATGTCTTAATTCATTTCAAAAATGAGGTACTTATAGCCCCTCTGTCTGGTGGGTGTGGACTGCTAGAGAAGATCATCTCATTCTGGGTACAAAGTTTCCTCCACTTCTCACAAGCTGGTCTGATGTTTGACTCAGTACCACAAAGACAATCTTCCTCTCCCAGTCTGTGTGCACTTCTGTTGATAGAGAAATTGTCCTCTTACTTCAGTGGTTCTCAACCTTCCTGATGCTGCAACCTAATTCAGTTCCTCGTGTGTTGTGGTGCTTCCAACCATAAAATTGTTTTGTTGCTACCTCATAAGTGTCATTTTGCTACTGTTATGAATCGTAATGTAAATCTGATATGTGACCCCAAAGGCATCATGACCCCAATGCTGAGAACAATTACCTGGAGCACAAAGCACTTAAGTGTATCTTTGAGATGTCAGAATGTATTCCCTCTCCTTGTTCTGTTTGTTGGCTGGCTCAGCTAAAGGTTTCCTTTCTGGGTCTTGTCCAGGGCTATCACTGTGGTTATAATGAAGGTGGCTGAAGCTGATTGATGGTCTCCTTGTCTCCTGTTGAGCTCTTGTTATTCCCTGCACTAGCTCAGGGTCCCTCACACCCAAGAAGCCCTGAAGGACCAACTGTGGAAGTCACAAAACACTTCTGTCACGAATCCTGCAGTTATTGCAAAACACAAACTCAAGGTTTCTAGTGCGTATATCCTGTGCCACCCCTTCCCCTCAAGTGAGGGGAGAACTTGTGGAAAGGACTTGGATTATACTCTGCTGCTGGATTCTCTGAGACAAGTACAGTGACTTTGCAAATGTGTTTACGGTCCCTAATTAGTTAACCTTGAACTGCTCAAAAGAGGCTTAGACTGGCATGCGTTCCTAACAGGAAAGATCTGGCCAACAGAGGTGCCATCCAGTTAGCCTTGAAGAAGCAAACTGCCAAACTTCAAAGAGAAGTTTCAGGGATAGAGCATGGCTTCTAGAAACGGAGAACTTCTGTCCTACAATCCCAGGCAATGGAGTGTGTCTGTAGCTCTGGAGCTTGGTGCAGCAGCCTAAGTTTTTGGATGAGAACACAGTTCTGCTGACACCTTGAAGACAGTCTAGGAGAGCAGGTTTGTTGATCTGTAGGTGAAGATATAAGCTTGTGTTGTGTTGACCAATACGTTGCAGCAACTCAGCTCATGGTTGGGAAAATAGACTCCACCTCTGGGCAGGAGGAACCATAAGGTCTCATTGTGAAGGGGACTGCAGTGGTTTCAATGTGAATGGACCTCTATAGATTCATATATTTGATTGCTTAGTCTCTAGTTGGTGAATTAGGAAGTATGGTTTTTGGAGGAGGTGTGTCATTGGGGATAGGCTTTGAGGTACCAGGCCTGGTCTTTCTCTGCTCCCTTCTTGTGGGTAAGATGTAAGCTCCCAGCTACTGCTCCAGCACTATATCTGCTCACCTGCCAGCCAACCTTGCTTCTTGCCATGGTGATCATGGACTCACCCTCTGAAACTGTCAGCAGGTCTCCAATTAAATGTTTTTCTTTCTTTGTTTCTTTTTTTTTAAATTTTTTTTTTCGAGACAGGGTTTCTCTGTGTAGCTTTGTAGACCAGGCTGGCCTCAAACTCACAGAGATTCACCTGCCTCTGCCTCCTGAGTGCTGGGATTAAAGGTGTGCACCACCACTGCCCAGATAAATGTTTTTCTTCAAAAAGTTGACTTGGTCATATGTCAAGGCCTGATCTATTCACAGCTATAGAACAGGGTTATAATAATAATAACAAAAGTAGGGAGCTGGCTCCCTAACTTCCAAAAGATTCTCCTATGTCTGCCTTCCACCTCACCATATAAGTATATAAGACAGGCTGGCATTTAGTTCTGGCTTAGTTTTCTGCTTCCTAGTCCCCTGTGATGTGAACGGCCTCCGCCAAACACTCATTGGGAGCCAAAATAAGTTGTTTCTTTCTGTCAAGGATTGTGGCCTGCAAAAGCAACACACACACACACACACACACACACACACACACTCACACGTTTTCCTTACACATTATCAAGGTAACTCTTTTCATAGCCCACATGCTTCAAAGATTCCCGTGAATTCCCCAATTTGCATACAGTATTTGACTAATTCAATCCCCAAAACAACTCCTGGAAGGAGTAGAGCTATGCCCTGTCACTATGAAGGACACTGCCTTCTGCTCCAAATGGACAGGGCTCATGTTCTCATCCACATTCCTTTGTCCCCTCCTCACTTGACATGCCCTGCACTAGGAAATAACTCCACCAATGACACTACAGCCATGAGTCCAGGTGACCAATGTGAGTTACAGGGAGTCTGAAACATGTCATGTTTTCCTC